CTCCCTTGAATTGCTCATCAAGGTTAAACTTAAAAAGGTTAATCTTTCTTTTGTGGCTTTCAAGTTCCCATCTTTAAATCTCTGACCTAGCCCTGATCGACACTAGAAAATTAAGCTGAGCAACACAGTTATGCCAAGGGTGTAAAAAAAAAATCCACACTCCACCTGCAATGTAAAAGGCAGGCTCTGCAATGTAAAAGGTTGTAGGAGCCGGGCTGCCTACCCCCTGGCTACTACTAAGTTTTAAATTGCAGAGTTGCAGCCAAGTTAGGCAGCTCAGTTCAGTCCCAACTTGCGCTGGGTGCAGAACCAATCGACTAATTGAGTAGTCAGAATTTTTATTGACCGTTTGATTAAATATTTGCTTCTTTACATCCCTAGTTGGGACAGATAGTGTCTAAGCAAGCACTGCTGAAATGCAGCTGTGCCACATCCAGACAAGCCCTTGGTATCCTGTATCATACACCCCTTCTGTCTTCCTCTTTTAGATTCCATCAGTGATAATTTTCTTACCCCTTTGATCTTCTTTCACAGAAGTCTGTGTGCTGCCCTTTTTGCTACCTTGTGTGCTTGGAATGACCTTTCATGTTTCTAAGCCTCCATCCTTACCTCATACAGATCTGTCAAGATACTTTTGCAGAATCACCTTCCCAAAAATGTTTTAGGCTAAACTAAGTAGCTGTATAAGAATATCTAAACTTGTATTTCCCTTTTCCTAACCCATGAACCAATCCCTGCAACAAACCCTGTTGCCAACTCTGTTCACATATCAACCCAAGTGACACCATCATGGGACCTAATTACATGAGCCATGCCATCAGACTGTCTCTACACAAAAGACTAAATGGACACCGATCAGAACAGTAATACTCAAAAGCCATTGGGAGAGCACTTCAACCTCACTGGACATTCAGTTACAGATTTGAAAGTAGGGATGTCGACTGTGTGATTAACCGATAAGCCTAGGTTTATTTATATCAAGAGGCAGCAAGGGGAGAGGGGGAAGCAGGAGCTAGTGCTGGGGGTGAGCTGGCTTAAAAGAGGTATCAGGCAGCAGCATGGATGGGGGGTAGGGGAGGCAGCCACGAAGCAGCCTCTGTCCACGGCAGACACAAGCTCCCCACGGGCAGAAGCTACTACGCTCCCAGGGAGCCCCCTACTACCCCTTGCTTGTGCCTCTGTATCAGAGGCAGCAGTGTGGGGTGGCAGGCAGCTGGTCTATATGGGGAGCTAGTTTTTAAACTAGCGCCCCTCGTGGACTGGCTCCTGTCTAGCATCCTGCACTGCTGCCTCTGATACAGAGGCAGCTGCGCAGGGTGGCAGAGTGCTCTCCAGGAGCGGGGCCGGGAGTGGACTGGCTGCTGCCCCAATCCCTGGGGACTATAGAATAGTTGAGAAAACAATAATTCATGTGGTTACTCGACTATTCAATGGGTGGCAGAGTGCTCTCCAGGAGCGGGGCCGGGAGTGGACTGGCTGCTGCCCCAATCCCTGGGGACTATAGAATAGTTGAGAAAACAATAATTCATGTGGTTACTCGACTATTCAATTACCCAGTATCTAACATCCCTGCTTGAAAGTTGCCATACTTGAGCAAAATAACTTAAAAACAGACTGCAGCGTGAAACTGCAGAGCTGGAATTCATATGCAAACTTGACACTATCAGATTGGGTCTGAATAGAGACTGGATAGCTAGCTAGCTCACTACAAAAAGTAATTTTTTCCCTTTTTGGTAGTCTCACCTTCTCATCCAGTGTTGGTAGTGGGTCACATTCCCACTGAATTGGCCTCATTAACGCTGGTTTTCCACCTAGCAATGTAAAACTCCTGTTTTTGCCTGTGTATATATCTCTGCCAAACTGAAGTTGCCATTTCATCCATCTGACAAAGTGGGCTCCAGTAACTGCAACTCAAAACACAGGCAGTAAGAATTTGAAAGTGAAACTGATTTAATTGATTTCTATATAGGTTCTAATATCACTTTTGGCACCATGATATTCAAGCAACGTCCAGTAATACAATAAACAGCCACATTGCTTAATGCATTGATACCTTTTCCGTTGGATAAAGTGTGTGCAGTAGACTGTCATATTTTAGAATATTTTACAGTATACATTATATATATCAGAAAACAAAGTCCAAGAAATGTACCCACTCCTTATAGTGGAAGGCGGTGAAAATTATGATGGTCCTTTGTTCCTCTGGGAGCTCATTCCACAGTCTTGGGTTGATCCCTGAGAAAACTCTCCTATACTCCAGCCTGAGTTTGGGAGTGAAAAGCAAATTTTTTTTTTAAATTTCCACTTTTAATCTTAAATTCAAGTACACTCACACATAAGGAACATTGTTTGAAATATGGTTACGTTGGCAATCTTTTAAGTATCCATAATTATACAGATGTGCTATGTTTGAAGCACAGAAATCAAGACTAGGCCAATTAAGGGTCTGATCTAGATGAACCAGTGGCCTGGTTATTGTGAAGTAGTTCAGAATGAGTTTCAATTGGCTTGCACTGAATTGTAGCTAATTGGATGTCTGAAGGTGTTCAATGGCCATCCTGTCAGGAAGGCAATGTAATACTGTGGAGAGCTGTATCTTTAAGAACTCTATTTTTTTTCCTAAATCAGTCATTCATAATTCCTATTTTGAGTGGTATGATAATCTATTACGGTTTTGGAGCATTGGAGAGAAGGTTTTGTTCAAATGGTGTACTGAATCAATATCTGGCAAGAATCTATGGCACTCAGGTCATTCTGTTGAGCTCTGTAGTCTGACTCAGCATATATGTGTAGAAGCTTCAAGGGGGTAGCTGAGTTAGTCTGTACAGCGTAAACTTAAACAACAAATTATCTAGTAGCATTGTATAGACTAACAAAACATGTAGATGGTATCGTGAGCTTTCGTGGGCACATGTTTTATTAGTCTATACAGTGCTACCAGAGTACTTGTGGGGTGGGGGTGTGTGTGTATTTATATTTGTGTGTATATAAATAAATAAATAAAGTTCCTGTAGGGGAACACTCCTTTGTATTTCAGAAACTTTTTAAATTAGGATCCATTGTCTTAAGTCAGTCTGTTTTTAGGAAAACTATATTTGCTTCATGGTTAATGGTAAATTAAATTTCCTAGTGTTACTTTAAGCTAAAAAAGCTAGTCAGCGTGCGCAAACAAATTATAGCATGGTGATCCATAACACACATTAAACACTTGTATAGTGTAAATGCAAATAGCACTTTACTAAATGTAGACTAAGATATGCAAAACCCCCTCCCCCGATTTCACAGTAATTTTGTCAATATGGGAAAAAATGTGTTGCATCTAAGTTAGACAGGAACAAGTCTTAACTTTCTTTCTCTGCCAACCTAGCCATCCCTAAAAACGAGCAATTGGCGTGTCACAGTGTAAAGTTGATGGGGCTTTATTATTTATCTATGTAGTCATTTTTTGTATCTACTGTGGGTGTGCAGAACTAATTTTTGAGATTACAGACCAATCTAGTGCAGCAACTAGTCCCATAGCTAGCTACTATGGCTACTTCATCTGTTGCTTACTATTGAGAGAGCTTTGTGTGATAGTGCCATTAAGAGAGGAAACTAAATTACAACCATGTTAATGGAATTCATCTCCAAATCCAGTCCACTTTTTATTTTATTACATTTACAAGGTTTTTAGAAACTGTCATATTCAGGTTCCAGTGTAAACTTAGTACTTGATGAAAATCTCTGGAACTGAAGTTATGTGCTGACTCCATTACCACTACTATAGCTATCCAGTGTTGCCTCCACCCCAGGCTTTACTATGGATAAAAGTAGTTATGCCTCCAGGATGTGCCCCTGGAGATGGCAAAGCTGTTTTGGGGGGGACTGGATAGTTGTACACAAAGGCACTGTACAAATGCCACCAAGTCATTTTACACAGGCTACTGAACAATCATGAACTGAAAGCAAGTTTTCATCCCCTCTTGAACCTGGTGACCCAGAATTGTGTATTCTACTACTTCTCCCACTGAGTCATCAACTGTCCTTCCCTCCCATTGTTCGTTACTGTTAGAAATGAGAAAAAAAATTCCTTGGATTACAAACCCTATTATTAAGCAATTGTAGGGCTTATGTGGGGAAATCATTCCAGCATAAAGCAGGGTGTAAACATAAAGCACAGTAGCTATTCTGCAATAGCTTCCTGGCAGATGCTTTTATTTTGAAATGTCTACATAGGGTGCTATTGTGAAATAGCTATTCTGATTAATTTCCACAGGCCCTTGGGTGTCAAGAAGGGTTGAATTTACTTTTTCCTCCCTAACCATTTCATTTGGAGCATAAATTAACAGTGTTTTATAAACGTTGTTGTGAAGACAGAGATGATGTTCACAGTGTTGTCAACTATGTGCTGTAAATAGAGCTTCCTTAACTTTGAATCTTGTTTTTGGCTGGCTTGCTCTAGCTTGCTCTAGAGCAAAAAGTACTGCAGTGACATATCTTTTTCTAATTGGGTACCTGGAAGACTTCAAGAATTGTTCAACAGAGTCTAACCATTTCAAGGTGATCACTCTTATTGAGCATCAGCTACTTGTGATTCTTTTGGTACTGTAACTGTTTTAGAATCCAGTTTGTAAACATTTTGTAGATTTACTCTTTCAAAGGGAGAGCAAGCACTTTCAGGCCTTTATTGAGACTATCTTGGCACAGAGCACATCACGTAGACTTTAAATGTACAGATCTGAGTCACTTGTTCAGTACTTGCTGCAGCGTGACCAAGGGTATAGCTACACAGCAAAGAGAAACCCATGGCTGGCCTGTGCCAGCTGGCTCGAGATGTGGGACTGTGCCATTTGTGTATAGACCCCCACTGTCTTAAATCCCAAGCCTGGAAGTCTACACTGCAATGACACAGCCCTGCAAGCATGTGTCAGCTAGTGTGGACCAGCTGTGGGTGTCTACTTGTTGTGTAGTCCTGCTAGAGCTGACTTCATAGCTGAAGTCTCTTGGCCTACATTTTTTAACTAAATTTCCTTTATTTTCATTTCAATCCTTTCCTATTCCTTCCTCACACAGCTGTAGTGCATGCTCGTTGCTACTCTCATGGGACGCAAGAGTCAGATGAAGAATTTGATGCTCGCTGGGTGACATACTTCAACAAGCCGGATATTGATGCCTGGGAGCTAAGGAAAGGTATGGTAAAAGGGAAGGAAACTGAAGTAGTTATGGCTACGATACTATGAGGAAACCTAAACTGCTTTGAAATATTCTGGCCATTTGACATTACATCTAGGTCAGAAAGTAAAAGCTTATGCAATCGTAGGGCAGAAATGCTCCTAAAAATGCACTTTTATAATACTGAACCACAGTGTCTGTGTGTTTAAAACTGCTACACTTATTTGACATCTGTGAAGGAGTTAAAAACCCAGGAACCTCCAGTGCAGTAGACTTTGCTTACTCAGTGCTAACAAAGACCATATGGTGATGGGGTGTTGACATTTCTAGGAAATACACTTGAGATTTAGGGAATGGGGTTTTCTTGTATAGTCCAAGTGCAGTCTGTGTGACTTACTGCTTCATTCTGACTGGTTTGTACAGCATTTAAAGGTGGTCAGTGATGTAGTAGACCTGGAGTTCACACTTTATAGTGTGTACAAACTGACTGACAAAGATGCTAGTACACAAAGACCTTACTTTCTTGTGTCTTCATGGCAGACCCATGAACTGTGGAAGAAGGGTTATTGTGCTGTCCAGCAGCAATACCTGCTTAGACTTTGACACATTAACTTCAGTTTTGTACTTGAATTTTGAAGAATCCAGCTACATTTTAAATTCTTTTCGACAGCTGATAATTGTCACTTCCTTGAGTAAAAACTGATTCCTTGGAAAAAGTAACTTGAGTTCAGCTGTTGCTTAATGAGTGTGAAAAATGACACAAATGGAATAACTTTTGGAGGTTGACTGTATAGCTTAATGGCTATCACTGGAAACCTGTATAATAGCTCTTCTAGGTGGCTTTAAGCCACTGATCTGAGTCCTGAAGCTTTTTTTATAATGTCAACTTTTATGGAACCTAAAACTAAAACTTGTGCCCCTAAACGTGCAGAGTGTTGACTTGCAAGAGTAAAAGGCAAAGAATCACTCTTTTGCTTAAAAGTTAAAAAGGTAGAACAGAGACATGGGTCAAATTTTTCTTTTGATGCATTTGTAGAAGTGTAACTGAGGGTGTTTGGTTTAAATGAAATGGTTCTGTAAATGAAAGCTGAATGGCATGTCAAGGTATGTAACCTGACTCTTTTTAGGAGGATAGCTGGAACTGGTTCTCAGTGGCTTAATGAAACCCACCTTTTCAGTTAAGCTTTCATAGATAATAAAGTCACATGACCAGCATTAGACAGCAATGGCAAGAGACGAGTAAAGAGCAAAAAACAGATGTGGGGAGTAGTTCTGGAATGTGTGGGGGAGAAGACTGAAATTGAGTCTTATGGTGCTTGCTTGTCATGGTGATAGATATGTTAAAAATATCAAGGAGGTGGGTTGGAAGTGGATGAGTGGAGAACCCAGACTGAACTTTGAAAGACTCTCTCCCCCAACAGGTTCCATATCTAACCCTCTCCTTTTTTTTACCTGTGAAATAATTGGGATGTTCTCATGTTGTTGTCATTCGTGTCCTCTCATTCTGACAGGTATGAACACGCTGGTTGGCTATGATCTGGTGCCAGAACCAAAAATCATTGATGCTGCTTTGAGAGCATGCAGGAGGTTAAATGACTTTGCTACTGCAGTCCGCATCTTAGAAGTTGTAAAGGTCAGTGTAGTGGTCTCCTTGGGTATGCTGAAAATGCTGCTGCTTGTGCCTTCAAACTGCTGAAAAGGCTGTAAAGTGGAGATGAGTTTCCTAGCTCTTGTTGCATTTTCACCCACCTAAGCAGGGGAAACCCCAGTTTCCTGATAGTCCAACACTAATTCCAGTACTAAGATTGCATGATCAAAATTAGTTTCTCAAATTGTTGCCATTTAACTACCAACAGAAAATCCCTCCTGTGCAGGATCACAGGTGTAAATGCATTGGATACTGTTGCCCTCCTTCCTTCCCCTCTGTTGACCACTCTCTTTAGAGTAGAGGGCAATCAAGAAGTGAGCCTCTGCAACCCACACTATGTAATCTGAGAAAAGGATCATGTTCCCTCTTATTCACGAGGCAAACTTATGGGAGAATCATGTGCTAACGGGGCCTGACTTTCAGAAGTGTCTGTACTGGACGAATCTTGTAAGGGAGATCTCAGACTTCGCCTATTCCCAAATCATCTGAAACCTACTTACAATGAATTAATATGAATAGCATAGCTGTAAAAATCAAACAGCTCATTACAACTGTGGTATTTTATCAGGGAGTTTAACAAAGGTGACTGTGCTAAACTTGCATCTCTTTTCTCCATACCCTGCCATTTTTGGTCTCCTTTCTATATGCCAGAATGACTGGCCACTGAGATGGTTCTTGAAAATATTTGCTTTGGAGAAATGTAAGGTATGAGAGTGGTTTATAAATCTCTCCCCAAAACTTCTTCCCTAAAACCCTGTTTGAAAGGCTTTTTGGGGGCTGACTTCTCCTTAATCCCTTTTTTAAAAACACTAAAAGTTTTGTTTTATAAATGGACTCTCTTAGGACTTATTTAGATTTCAAAATAATCAACAAGCAGTCCTCAAACTGGTCTGCAGAGCATCTATAGACGTAGCACTGTTTTGCCTTGTTTTCTGCTTGTATGTTTCTTTACAGATAGCTTGGGGAGGGAAGACAAGGGGGATTTTCTGAAGCATGCAGCTTTGGCAAAACTCTGCTACCATTGAAATGGTTCTGTGCTGCTCAAAATCCCACCCCACCCATTCATTTTCATTGTAAGCAACTGCTGTGGATTGTTAATGGGAAGCAGGTGGCCTGTGTAATAGTCCACATAACTGTGTAGTGGGGTTGGAAGGAGTGAACACTTGAAAAACCCTGCAGTAAATGAATGAATGTAGCTACTATTCTGAGATTACCTCTTTGTGCTTCGTACCAGCCAGATAAATACAGGCTGTGGTTTGCAGACTTTAGTGTAGATGTTCTATGGAAGGCACAGCTGACTTACTGTTTTAAGCAATGCTAGAATGTTACCCTTCCATCTTATTGAGGGCAGATTTTTATCACTAGTAATAAGTGGATCAAAGTGTAGATTATATTATGAGTACACTGTTCTTAGTTGCAGGCAGATGTTTTTCAGGACCACCTCTTTGCTATTGAATTAATTTTCTTCTCTCCTGATTAGGACAAGGCAGGCCCTCACAAGGAAATCTACCCTTATGTTATCCAGGAACTTAGACCAACTTTAAATGAATTGGGAATCTCCACTCCAGAGGAACTGGGCTTGGACAAAGCATAAATATAATTGGTAAGGTGGATCATATCTTCCTAGAACCTGAAATGGACTATGTACTCTAAGCACCTTCTGAGTGTGTATAGTTGTCTTCCTTGGCTATAAGGAATTCCTAAAGAGAAGAGTGGTGGAATGCATGCTTAATGGGTAAGACTCTTGGGATTTACCCTCCCTGGCAATAGAAGACAATTGAATGTGTACTGGAAGGCTATGCTCTGTGAAGACTTCAAGTTCTCTTTTAGTTATATATACAGAATGAGGGTGTCTAGAATCCAATTCCTACTTGTGTTCTCTGAAAAGAAATCAAAAGGGCTATGGGTGAGACTGGTGTAGTAGTAAATGGAAAGAGGCTTTTAGAATAGGTGCCATTGTAACATTCGGTTGTTGAAATATTTGCACCGGAGTTTCTTAATGCATTCTAAAAATGAAAGGTGGTTGAGAAAGGCCTTTCTAAATTCAAGAATCTTAGATTACATTCCTAATTGGAAAACTTAAGGTGGCACCTCTAATAAAAATGCATTTGTTTCATATGGCAAGAAGATACTTGGAGAAAAACTTTTATTTTTCATATGTTGACAGTTTGATCGCTACTAAAATCTGAGGCTGTTCATTTGAACTGAACTTTTTTATTCCTTTTAAAAAAATACAGTGAAATAACCTTTTAAATAGGCTTTCACAATGTATTTCTGCTGACTGGGGGGCTATATTCAGTGCTTTAGATGTTTGACATAATTGCTAGCCTTTAAAATAGGGATATTGGTGGCTTGCTGGCTAAATGATTGCTTATCAGTTAACGGTCCTGATTAACTACACACATACTCACACTCTCCCTGCATGCTCTGCATTTAAAATTGGGACTGGCAGGCTGGTTCTGTCCCGTCCCAGCTCAGGGCAGCAGACAGGAACTCCTCTGCGTGGGGAGCTGATTTTTAAACTGGCTCCCGCTTGCCACTCCACGTTGCTGCCTGTGACAGAGGCAGCAGCGTAGGCTGGTAGGGGGCTCCCTGGGAGTGGGACCAGAAGTGCACTGGTGCCAGTCCCAACCCCGGGGACATTGAATAACCATATATCTGCTAAGAATGATTGCAGGTATATGATTTACTAAAATTTAAAATATCTAACATCTCCACTTTAAAGAATACTCCCTTCCTTTCAGTGTTGCAGCTTTGATTCTATTGCTTTGGAAATAAGCAGTTACCATATTTGCTTGAAAGAATATAAAACTTTTGCTTCCCAGCAACCTTTGCAAGAATCATCCCATATGAAAGTAGGCTAATTTTCATTTTTAACATCTTTTGAACCCTTTTAAACAGAAGACAGAACAGGACACTCGTGCCTCCTGATGCTGGGAAGTAATTGTCTCCTTGCTGGCAACAATCAGCAATATTGAAGCTGCTAGTGAAGGAAAGGATAAATCTTCTGCACTTCCACAAAGTGTGATCTGACTCCACCCAATGCTGAAACTAGCATTGTCCCCTTCAGCTGTTTAAAAAGCACAGCAATGATGCAGGGGACACTTTGCTTACAACATAGTTGACTAGTCTATTTTATATTGTAACTACCGCTTAAGTGTTCTGTGGGCAGAACTCCTGTTGGCTTCAGTAATTTCCCGTGCAGTGCTTGCAGGATCAGGTTCTAACCCAGGGGTGGGCAAAAGGGCCTCTGCGGGCTGGATGTGGCCCACCAAGCAGATGGATCCAGCCTGTGGAGGCCCTGCTGCTCCCCTGCCCCCAGGCCAATCAGGGCCTGGGAGCTGGAGAGCTGCGTGAAGCTTCCTTCTCCCTGCCCTGGCCCTGCGAGGAGCCCACAAAATGCTATGTGTTCCTCACAGGGCGGGAGGAGGCTTCTCCTCCTCTTCTCTCTCCCCCCCCCCCCCCCCCCCCCCCCCCCCCAAAAAAAATCCTAGGACTTGAAATCAAACCTCTTCCAGGGCATGGGTGCCTAGTGGGAAGGGGGGGCAAAGGGGCTCCTCTACCCCCAGACCAATCATGGTCTGGGATAGGCTCTGTCCCTTCTGGGGGTGCCCTGGAGCTACTTCAAAAAATTTTGAAGTGGCCACTGGGCAAAAATTATTGCCCACTCCTATTTTAATTGCTAAGGCTTGAATTCTGGGAGGAGGGAGAGGAAGGAGCTGTTTTCAGTGCTTTAAAGGTGATGGATCTGGTTTAAGATTAAAAACTGAAAACTGGTATCTTCTGAAATCCCAATATAACTTGAATCAGGATCTTAAATCCTGTTTTTTAGAGTAATAAATTCCCCATTGTCTAACATTAGCTAATGCTTATGTTGCTGCATCACTGGCTGACATCTTGATAATAAAAGGCCATCAGCTGGCAAGTGGCTATCCATCATAACAAATAAGCTCCAGCCACTGAATGTAAATGTGGATTAAAATGTAGTCCAGAATGAAGCATAGCAACATTTAGTGATGATGCAACTGATGCACATCAGTTTGTTAGAAACAGTCTTCTCTCTTGGGAAATGAGAGGTTATAGAAAAGACTGAATTTAAGGTTACAGATGTATATAACCTTAAAGCATTTCAAACTTTGAATTTTAATCTATTTGTAACAACTTCAACAAATTGGCCTGTTTAAACGAGTAAAAACGGAGGTCACTAACTCCATTCTGCCCAGGAAGCAGGAAGTAATGCTGGGTTATTGGTGCTGGTACTGCTTTTCTGGGCCTGAAGAATTAGTGTGTGTTGAACCAGGCAGTGTGTTGGTTGAATGATGGGGGGGGGGGAGAACACCATATGGTCTGGAACTACCTGAGACCACCTGAAATGGTGTGGAAGTATCGGTCTGCTTAACATAATCCTTTTAAACTAATCCCTTATCTCTTTTCTTCCAGATGGGCTGCACATGCATTTTCTTAATGCTCTGATTGTACAGTCACCTGGAGACACAGATGTTAAACTATTACATTTGAACTACTGTCTTTCTTTATTGAGTCCCAATGTATGTAATGTAAAGTTGGACCTAATAAAGGAGATACAGGTTTGAACTGAGCTTGGTCCTTGTTGCCTCTGATATTGGAGGAGAAAACCAGAAAATGAAATTTCTTAAGAGCAAAGTGAGTAGTTAAAATATGCTTTGGATAAAGCCAACTTGCTATTAACTGTGTAGCCCATTCTGAATTTATCCAGCAACAGGGATGGTTTCCAAGGCTAGCTGCAGAATTTTTAGATGGGATGTTCAGTGGCTAGCTGCAGAATTCTTAGATGGGATGTTCACTGAAGTTGACTAGAATTCAAAGGCTAAATGTGTTGTGCCAGTTGGCCCTTTTGCATTACCCAGCAATGTAGATAATGGAATGAGGTATGGTAGGCTTGTGCTTAGTTTCACTGTGCCCCAGAATGGGATATAATTTATGCCCTTAGTTGTGTGCTTGCTTGACCACTTAGGGGACCCCTACACGGCAGGGCTAAAGTCGAATTAAGTGACGCAACTTCAGCTACATCAGTTGTGAAGCTTAATTCGGCTTTTGTTGCTGTATTCACAGCAGGAAGTCAAAGGAAGAACACTCTTCCCTCGACTTCCCGTACTCCTCGTAAAATGAGTTACCATGAATTGGAGTTAGGAGTAATGTCAAGCTGGAGGACTCCTAAATAAAGACTTGTAGTGTAGACGCATGCTATGTTAGTTTGGAATAACGTCAGTTACTCCGAAATAACAGTGCTGTGTAGATGTACCCTTACTGGCCCAATTCTGTTGTGTGATTTATGTTTACACCCTAACAGTAGAACTTCAGTAAATGAGGGCCTATGTTCTCCCATAGACAACATACATTGCATTAAGTAGTTTTTTTTTGGGGGGGGGCAGCTTTTAAACGGAGACGTCTTTCATTTTTTTAAACATAAATGCTATTTATAAGCTCGTCAGGGCAGAAATCCCACCTTTGCATTTACTAATAAGTGTTGTACAAAGTAGAGGTCCTGATCCTGACTAGGACTTCAAGGTGATATGGTAATACAATACAAATAGTGCCATTTATCTGTGTCTCTAGGAATCTTCTCCCTCCTCCCCCTCACCTTCCCTACCTCTCAAAAACCAAACAAACCTATATCTGTTCCCTGTTGACCTCACCTGCTGCTCTGCCAGGCACGGAATCTTTCACAGAGCCTGAAGCAATGGCATGTGCATCTTGAACATCACTTGGAATGCAGTCAAAAGGTGTCTGACAAGTGCAAACATAATAGAGTTGTTCACTTGAGAGATTGAGGTATGTGCCTCCTCAGTTGTATTCTCTCCCCCACTGCACAGGGGAGTTAGCCCGTTCCACGTGAAGTGGCAACTAGTCAACAGCTGCTCACAGGCATTCCTAGGTAGGTTAGAGTTGGGTAGCAAAAATAGACAAATAAGGTGCAATATTTAATATTCTTGCAGTTCATTTTCCCTTGTGTTTATTGCTGGGTCCTTGGAACGAACCATGCCAGTTCAGTTTTTCTTAACAGTGCTGAGGACACTGACTTTAGGCATGTAGGAGAGAAAAGCAGTTAAGCTGAGTAGGTGCTTCCTCTGTATTAGCAGGTACACACATCTGTAGCACCTGAATACCTAAAAGGTAACCTGGAGATATTTATCCTTTCATAAATCATCTTTTGAATCCAGGCTTTTACAGCTAAAAAAGACAATGAACAAGACTAGCCCAATCAAAGTGTAGGCTTGTTCAAAGCATTTCACATACACTTGAACTAATTGACCAAATCAGTATGGTCTTTGCTGGAAGGCTCATGTCCAGAGGGGAATCTTCATGGGGGAGTGAATCAAACGTATTAAAATGCTACAGATTGATCCGATGTTTATTTTGAACTTTCTCTCACTGTAGAAAAATGATGGTATAGTGCTTGTCTGTCTCGATCACTATATAAAAAGACTCAGGAGGACACTGACCACTTCACCGGAAGTCCATCCTCTGCTGAATTGCTGTCTGTCAAGAGAGCACCAGAAGCTTCGCAAAGAGAGCAGTAGGAGTGGTCTAAAGAAGTACAGCAGTAGGAGAGGTGCACCCAGGCATTTTGCTGCTCACCCCATGCTTGGATACTCTTGGATATGTAAATGAAGAAGTAGTCCTTTCTTCCAAACACGAAAAAGGGAGACAGCTGTGCCACTCCAATGCTTAGAGAAGGTGCCCCCTTAGACCTTTTGAAAAGAAGTTTAGCTTATCAAACCAAGCCCACACCGTTGCACTAATGCTAATTTATTAGCCATTTTGCTTAGGTATTTCTAACAGAACACCTAGAATTCTCAGATCAGGTGCCTTGCTTTTCATTGTATGCTTTCTTTGTACATTGTTTGGAGTGTAAAGCCTTCAGGTAAGGGATGTTAAGGATGACTCTCTTTAGGCATAACGGTCAAGTTAACTACCATTTTTACCTTAAAGTCCACTCCCTTGTTTCCAAAGGACCTGTTGAATAAGCCTTGCCCGAGGGCTTTCTGTCTTTGGGAGGCTAGGAGAGGTTGCTGTGCGTGAATGGCAAACTTAATCCCCTGTTCAGTCCCATTCTTTTCCAGGTAAGGGCCTTATAGGGAGGATTTATTTTCATTGTCGTCCTCTTGGATGTTCTTGGGATCTGGAGTTTCTTACTGGCATCTATTTCTGTTCATTACTGACCTCCAACTCCTACCTCTTTTGAAGTTTAGTGTGTGTGTGGGGGAGGATAAGCTTAATACACAAGTTTCCACTGCTAGAAGCATTTCAGATCAGTAAATCATAAGTCTTTTTTTGATCAGCTTAACTGGTTTTCTAATCAAGTTTGTTCAGAATAAAATTTCCTGCTATTGGCTCTGCCCTCATCTAGGAAGAGCCTAAAACTGTCAAGCTGTTAGAAACACTATACTCCTCCTATCTGTTGGTAGCTGATATTGCATCTTGCTGCTTATGAGCATTACATTCAGATTACTTTTCTTAAAACACCAAACCAGATTCTGGGCTTTTTTTCTCATTTCTGTTGTGTGACTCCTGAAGAATGAATAGCCAAGAAGGGATGATCTTATTTACTGCTAACAGGTTGAATGGCTGAGTTTCTGGGATGGCAGAGTTCCTGAGACTGGCCACTTGAAGTCCCACTGAAGGGCCAGGTCCTTGTGAATCAGTCGCATCAAAAGTATTTAAAGAAAAACAATCCTCTGGAGTGTGAATAATACCTTCTTAATAAGAGACTCTCATTAGATTAAAGTTAGGATTACATCCAACTCCTGTGTTAGCTCTCAGGCTATGTCTACACTGCAGGCTGCTTGCGCAAGAAGCTTTTTGCGGAAGAGTATGTCTACACTGCAAAAGTGCACTCTCTTTTGTGCAAGAGAGTTTCCAGACTGCATGGACGCACTCTTGCAAGAAAGCTCGGCCACCAGGGCACCTGTGCTTCTCTCGATAACAGGGTTTTGCATGCAAAAACAGCCTTCCCATCCCCCCACACCTTTTGCGCGAGAGCTCTTGCGCAAAAAGGAGTTATTTCTCGTGGAAAGAGGAATACCTATGCCGCAAAAAACCCTCTGTTCTGTCGATTCACTACATTTTCTTGCGTAAAAACACGTTTGAGGTGAGGACACTCCGAGTTTTTGCGCAAAAACTCTGCAGTGTAGACATAGCCTCAAATTGCATTGACCAGACAAACAAGATGTACTCTGCCAGTAACCAATCATACTTGCTAGTCTATATCCAGTGAAAATACAATGAGATGAGTCATATTATATATGGTCCTGTAACTGAGTGGGAAGAGAGCAGGAAATTTTTCTTCTCTCTGTTGAAAAGCTGGTGTAGGCTTGTAATGGGACTGGTTTGAAGTAGACATACTGGAAGTGCAAGACACTGATTAGAAGCCTGTCCTGTTCTTCAGAGAATAATGAAAAGCCCTGTATTGGGCGATGTGAACATACTGGCACTTTGACATGGAAACTTGTCCCTGTGTATGTGCTATTAGTTGTATAGTGCGAAAGAGGACCAATTAGCAACAAAGACAAGCTGCTTTTTAGGGTGAAAGGTAGTTTGAAGGGGGTTAGAATCATACTTAATTTGGAAGTAACAGTGTAGCTGTGCATTTGCCTGGTGTGCATAAAACTTGCATTTTTATAGCAGTTTGTGGTGCTGTGCAAATGCTCCAGGTCTCCGTGTGCACCTGGAGCACTCCCTAATTGCTCCTTACTACCTGTGATAGTGAGGGGGAATCTGAGCCTCCAAGTTGGAGAGTTTTACTGCCCCCATTGCTGGGATTATGCCTTCTCCCCAGTGTTGAGTAGGGATGCCTCTCCTACTTTGAGAGATTCTAGAGCCCTCTCACAAGCAGTAGTGCAACTAGTAGTGGACTGGGCCAGTATCCATAGACTATGCTGTCCTGGCTACAGATGTGAGCAAGTAGTCAACTACCTGATAAGCCTGTGCTCAATGGTAGTCTAGTTGAGGGGTGGGCAACCCATTAAATGAAGAGAGATGAAACAGTGGCAGAAAAAATGCAAAGAGCTGCACCAGAATTTTTTTTAGCAACAATTTTTGTTGAGTGCAAGGGGAAGGCTCTTGCGCAAGACGGAGCTGTCTACACTGCCCCTTCTTGTGCAAGAAAACCTCTCTTGCGCAATACCATTATTCCTATAAATAATCAGCATAGCAGCATTGCACAAGAGGGTTTTTCTTGTGCAAGAAGGGGCAACGTAGACAGCTCCTTCTGGCGCAAGAGCCTCTTCTGCAAAAATGGTGGCTCATTAGCTATGCAAATGAGGCTTGGCGATATTTCATGCTTAACCTCATTTGCCTATTTCCCGTGCAAGAAGCTGCGAGTGTAGACATAGCTGCGGGGTCTCTGCTGGCCAGGCATAGAGACTCTGGTGCAAGTGGAGGAGGCACAAGGGGAGAACTAGAAGGCTGGCTGATGAGGCAGTGAGACACCTCAGTCTCTCTCCATTGGGAGGTGATTCATTAGGTGTTAGTGCCCCCATCCAGGAGGATGTTCTGGCAAGAGCAAGCTGAGCTCCAGTTGGGGGAGTCCATCTGCAGTTCTATGACCAACCACCACCACTGCCGTCATAACAATGAAGGCCCAGAGCACTCCGCCCCCAGTGAGTGGGACTCAGAAGCCA